AACTACTAATCATAGCATCAATTAGACTCGGAACAAATCAATTGGTTGTATAGTAGCTAGAAGTTATCAAGTCATTCAGATGCCAATTAGGCGAATTGAAGTACATTGGTTCAATAGTAACTTGAAGCAATCAAAATAGTAATCGTAATGTGACTCGTCCTCCCAATAAATCAGTTAGTTTATTATTGGATCAAAATACTGTCAACAGTAATCATGATGCCAATCAGGGTGAGTCAAACTTTATCGGGTCAACTTTAAGTCGATGTAATTAAAAGAGTGATCATAATGTTAACTTAGCGGAGAAGAAATTACTTAATTTTACAAAAGCTCAAAGTAATAATAAGAGTGAGGATTATGTCAATTAGACCAATATAAAGTCAAACAGGTGATTACTTTGTCAAAGTAATCAAGATTGCAATAATGGTGATATAAACTCAGTTGTGTGACCAATATATCAGGGAAAGATAAAAAGTAACCGCTAAGTTATATTTGAGTTAATGTAAAGTCGGTTGGATGATTAGTAACGCAGAGTAATCAGAGGGGTAATGGAAACCTTAGCTAAACTTTTATGTAGTCGCATTTATTAATACTATCTCGGAGTAGCGACTGAGTAATTGAAAGTTTGCTCCTATAAAGTTATTTCTGTCAATAATACCTATATAACCAAAAAGTAATCATAAGGTCAAGTGAGCTTCTACGAACATAAATTTTGTCAATAATGTCTCGAAGTAATTGAGAGTAGTCAAGAGTTTGTTTAACATTTATCATGTGAATTGTGTTATGAATAGTTCGAAGTAACTAGAACTGCAAGCCATACGTCCATTAAGATTTGAATAAAGTCAGATGTGTCATTAATAACGCGAAATAGTCAAATAAGTAATCGCAAACTGCAATTGCACTTATATTATTTTAGCTGTTTCAACTATAAGTCGGAGTAATAAGAAAGAGTAAGCAAAACGTCAATTCAGCTGGAAAGTCGAGTGCGCCACTAATAACTCAAGGTTACCGCAAGGTTACCGCAAGAGCAAGAGGTTACCGCAGCTTCGTCGATCATGCGACTAGTAACTCCAAGTAATCGAAAGAGTGGTTAAAATACCAGTTGTCCCCAACAATATCAAATTCTATAAACAATTACTCTAAGGCATTCAAAGTGTAAGCGAAACGCGGACACTGAAGACAATGAGTCCATGTATATAGTGTGGATTAAATTGACTGATGCAGGGAATAAATTGGGGAGTGCGGGTAATAAATAACACGGCACTTGAATTAAATTTGAGGGCACTCGAATTAAATTGACCGTCGTTGTGAGTCAAATGGGTGGGAAAACCTGTAGTCCCGAACTATGTGGATGGGAACACAGCGTCATAAAGTGGCGTCAATGGAAGCTCGAAAACCTTCTATCCTCCTTTGCCTTGCAGCGCACTTGCCGCCAGGACGTCATGACGCCGACACTAAGGAGAGGTCGACGACCGCGTGTTCACCTTAATATAAACTGCGACTGCCCCCCCCCCCCCCCCCTATAAGAGCAACGTCTTTGACCGAATGAGGTGATTCAACTTGACCTTGCTGCTATGCCTTCCTGTGCTGACTAAAGCGTCGCCATATAACACATGTCCAACGCTGATTAAGCTCACACAATTTGTTGTGTAAAGCGGGGCCCTTCTTAAAATGAATTGGAGTTCCCAGCAGAAACACGTGAATGTTTAACAAAAAAATCTTTCTTAAGAATCATAACACTGATTCGGTCAGATGTTGCACCCGTCAAGCACGATGTCTAGAGCTTTTTGAGACCTGACTTAGAAAAAAAGGAAGCGTTCCAGGTTTGGAGGCTGGTACTCTAAACATTGTGTGATTATCAATAGCATCTCACCTTAACTGGAACTACTCGTAAACGATTGCTATGTCAAAATGCATGGCCAAGAAATTAGTGCAAAAATAAAAACGATTTATTTGGCCAAGTATTGCTACGGGATAGAGGTTTACGTTTTAATTGGAGAACGCACTGTCGAATAATAACGTTGCGTTAGGATATTAATCTGTCGTTGAATACAGGTAAACGTAATGCTGAGAATGTCTTTAAAAATTAGGACGAGACACTTGAGACTGCTTACTGGCGTGGACGGGTCGCGGAGCTCCGGGAGAAGGTAGAGAAGTTCAGAGGTTGGGATTTTTCCATTTTCGCCCGTGCCACAGTTTGCTATTTGTTTTTTGTTAGCAAACTGTGGTACGTGCTACAAGGTTTACACTGTTCAAGAGTTAACGTTCGAGTTAAGAGTTAACCGCGTTTTTGCCCTTTTTATTTGGGGCTCGACATGGGAACGTACGAGTCGTATGAACCTGTTCCGGCGCGTACGCGATGGCGGACTATGACTCTCACTATTGTTTTTGAGGCAGATTGTTAATCGTTTCCTTTTTTTCGTGACGACAGTGACACCTTTTTACGCACCGTTTGTCAAGTTAGACTGAGTAGTTCCCTACCCGAGTTTATTGTTTCTGCGTCAAGTGAGCCAGGTGGTGTTTATGGTTACCTTAAAGAAGTTGTTGGTCCATGTCGATTTTTGGCAGCGCGTTTTTCTTTGGATTACTTAAGCGAAGTGTCGCGTAAATGGTTGTACAGAGACCTTTGTGATGTTGTACTTCCAGTTCCTTTGTATAGAGCTATGTATTGTGCAGGCCCAGGACAAGACGTCTTAAAACGTGTTAAGAGAATGATGGTTCCTTCAAGTGTAAAGCCATTCTTTTTTTGAATTGCACACCGGCACGATAACTGTAAAGACGCGGATGGCGATGAAAGGAATATTTGTCCCATGGGGTGACCATTGTTTGTACTGCAAGAAACCTGAAACAATCGAGCACGTCTTTCTGGAGTGCTGGGACGGCGTCTTCCTAAGGGACGTCCTCCAACGCACTCTGAAGAAAGACTTTCCGTTAGACGAACACGGCATCAGGTATCTTTCCATTGAAAATAAGGACGGGGTGCCCTTTGATATGGTAATGTTATTGGGCCCGCACAGCATTTGGAGGTGTCGGATGGCTACGCGCCATGCCGATATTGACGCGCGCGAGGCGGGGCACTATTTCCGCGAAAGTATTCCTCCTTTGGTTGAATCGCATAAAGCACAAGTGTGCCTGCCAGACTGGATTATAATCGTAGAATCCTTAATGACCATGAAAAGATTTTAGGCGGTCGAGCCCTGCCCAGGGCTGTATGGACATTTCATTAGTCACTGCTGTTGATTTTTGTGTGTTTTTATTTGCATTGTCACTCTACTGTATATATGGTCATCTACACAACGGCAATAAAGAAAAGAAAAAAAAAAACGACGTGGGTTCGGTGAAGCGTGCTCGTCTCGCACCCCAGAGACCCGGGTTCGATTCCCACCCATACCAAAATGTACGTCTTTTTTTTTTTTTTCAAACGAATAATTTATTTTGTTTACAAGAACCTCGCTGAGACATTTTTGAAGTGTTCTGCTTTTTGCGCTGCGCCGCCAGCAGTTCGGCTGGTTGCTTAGCAACGATGACGCCGTTGCTATGGAGCCACATGACGCGCGTCGCAGCTAGTGGGGAATTTCGGTGCCATTTGCAGGCTTCACTCCGTGGGACAGTTAGTGCTCTCGCATTCAAACTATTTAAAAATACGAACATTCGGCGGAAACACAGAACATCGATCAATGTGAGCGTTATCCTATTTTGAATGCCCAGCATCCTTAAGTTTTTCTTGTTTTTTCCCTTAAAATATATATAACGGACATTCTCTGAATGTTTGACTGTCTGCTAAGCTAAGTTGTGAGAATGTGAGCGGCTTTCACATGTTTATAAGGGTAATTCACGGACCTCACTGAGATTGACGTTGTTCACTCAAGTTAAAACATAATCATTTATTATTGTCCCGTGTTCATTCTTTTCAAATTCAGGGATGGGCAGTATTTCAAATACAAATATTTTAAATGCGTATTTCAAATACTTTGTGTATTTTGCATTTGTATTTAATTACAAATTGGGTAATGCATTTGACGTGTGTATTTAAATACTAAAACGTAGGTATTTCAAATAAAATTGTAAATAAATACAATTTTGTGGGCGAAAAAACACCCCTCAAATTTATTGTCATTGTCCAGAGCAGGAAGAAAACTACGTTCGGCACCGAATGCAGTGTCTCTCAATCACGCTCACGAACAAGCGTTTAGTGACTTTGTGATTACGGTGCTAGTCCAGGGCAAGAATAGTGACGAAATCAACGTTCACAGGCAGACTGGCTAAATAAGTGCCTGTGACAACTTGCGATGCTTTCCAGCCAAATATCCATCCATATTTTTGCCTGGAACATTCTAAATGCGGGGGTCGTCCAGACTTTCGTAACTGGTGCGAGTTGCAACAATAAAAACTCTCTAGCTAGTGCTGCGCGTCTTGGTCGTCTCGGTTCTTTGTTGGTCTATACCAAAATGTAATCGACAAAAAAGCTGCTTGAAGCTTTGTACTTTTTTCACCTATTACGTCCAAGCTGATTACATTTTTTTTTTTTTTGTGATCATATTTCTATTACGTTAGTAGAGCCTCGCACACTAATTCCCCAGTGTGCGATGCGAAATTAAAATGAGATACCCAGAAACCCGTTGCAGGTGCCCTTAAGTCGCTGAAGCAAATTTTGAGGAATGTATTTGGAAAAGTATTTGAAGGAGACCAAATACATTTGGTTGTATTTGTATCTTGTACTTAAATGCTTTTTTTTGGAAATGTAATTAGATTTGTAATTAAATACATTTTGACGAAGTATTTTGTATTTTTATTACGATAAATATTTGCACGTATTTTGCCCATCCATGTTTTCAATATTTTGCTTTTCTAGCAACAGTGTTCTAATTATGTGTTTGTTTCGAGTGACTTATGGCGCTTACTTTTCGCTATATTACACACCTAAGAAACCTCCAATACTGCCAAATATATTTTAGTCAACTTAATGATACATATTTTAATTATCGACAAAATACATTCGAAATATGTCGAGTAAGATCACACATAAAATATCATACGCTCAAAAATAATATCCCGTTTTCGGGCAACTTATAGCGCAACACGTGAACGTATGCCTGGTCATTTTTCTCCGAACGTTCTAGACCAGTCATCTTGCCGTCCACTTTAGTGCAATGGGAAAATAATGCACGGAAGGGGGGACGGAACAGGAGGGCGCATTAAGCAGCCTGCCTAATAACGGCGCCCTGTTGCGATGCGGAGGCCGATAGGAAACCGGCGCACGGCGGGATTTTTTTTGTCCGTCCTCGCTGACGCGTCCTTGTCGGCCCTCTTCTGCCGCTAACGAGTTCCCGATACTTGGCATTCCTCTGTGCAGACAAGTACCAGATATCGACGGACGGGGACCTCGTCATCGACCGGGTGGACGTGGCCGACGCTCGCCGAAAGTACCGCTGCATCACCAGGAACGCGCTCGTCGGCGAGACCGTGTCCAGTTCCGGATGGGCGCAGCTGCTCGTCACCGGTGGGTGCCATGCATACTGCCTGCAGCACGCCTCTTTCTTTCGTTCTTTCTGGAAACAACGGGGACAAGGGATGCGTATGTCTTGGGGTAGTTGTACCGTAGCTGTATTGGTGACGGTTGTGGTTAGCAGGATTGTGGCGTGCCACGAACGGTTTGATGCAATACCACTTAGAAGAAAAGGTGTGTGCATGATGTTTTTATTAAAATCAAATATTAAGAAACTCGAGTCAATTAAGGAGAAACCAGTACGCTTAATTTCTTAACCACTATGAACGATTTTTTACCAACCTCTAAACTTATACTACGTTAGGCCTGGGCCCCATGTCTGCGCGTTGGCCACACGCATCTGTGACGTTCCTATACTTTTTTTAATTAGCTCGTGACGTCTCACCTGAGTGAATTCATATCCAAGCTTTTACAATTTGTAATCTAAAAGACAATCAAACATCTTAATTTTTTCACCCCTTTATCGGCATACTGACTCGTTCAAATGCAGCTTCTTTACAGGAGCAATTGAAATTTGAATCTTATTACCCGGCAATAATCGATTACTATCGCCTCTGAGTAATTTCTGTGCGCCGTTTATAGCGGTTTATGTTGATGTTTATGTTGTTATATATTGCATGCCTTTTTTTTACCTTGTATGAATGCAATTGTTTCAAAATCCCCACCCATGGACTAGCTCCAACGAGACTCTAGTGTGTAAATATAACTAAATAAATAAATTAATACCGAATAAATACATTGTTAGTTGATCGCCGATCCGCCCCAAGGGGCAAACACGCTGAAGCTTGACCTGAGTCGCCGCCAGGCGGCAGACGCGTGCGTCTCTGCTTCGACATGCACTATCGTTGCGCACGTTGGGAGACGCAGCAAAACGTGCTGGAAGCGATGCTGACGCCATCTAGGCGGCGCTTCCTGAAACTACCGGTGATGACGCTTGGGAGGGGGGAATCGCAGACCTTTTTTTGTTTTTTCTCCTGATTTTTTTTTTTTGGGGGGGGGGGGAGGGGGGGGGGCGTTGGTAACTATTAATTTTAAGCACGCCGATTGCTCACAGCGCCGCCACGCCCTTTCATTCGGTAGCTGTCACCGAGGGGGGCAGTGGCCGGAAGACAAGCCTAAAGCCCCTCGATAAAGGCGTTTTTTACAAGTACCGCAAGCTATTAATTGTAGCGTAAACCCGTAAGAAACGTGCCACGAGCGAGTGCTCCGTCGCCGTTCGATTCAAGGGCCGCTCGTTTCAGTGCTGCGCCGCCATTTGCTTTCAAGGGCCGCGAGAGACATGGGCCTCGTGCACTGGCGCATTTGACGCTACTTGCAAGATAGACGCAAGGAAATTGGGGGGCTTTAGACTAACCAGGCTTTCTTAGGACCTTATAGAGACTATATAGGGCAATATAGGGACAAATGTAGAGACAATATAGGGAGTATTCATTGGCAGGCATAGTTCTGCGTGGTACTGCTGAGTGCGTTTTGACTGCGAGTGTCCACAGTTCTTCTTGAACGTGCATTCCGCACCATCAAGATTGCATGTCTTAGCAGCCTACTGATGTAAGCTCGTTCTGAGCATGCATTCTGAACACGTCCCTCAAATATGGCGTCCAGTGAATACCCCCCCCCCCCCCCCCATATTCACTGGAACGACCGGTAGATGTTCTTGTAGACGCCAACGCTAGGAGCCTTTGTCTCCACCGACTGCTCGAACGCGTCCAACCGCCGAACGCCGGCGTCCGGCGTTCAAACGCCAGGCACGGCATGAGGAGCAGACGATGTTCTTGTTCGTTCCGATTGGAGGGAGACCGAGGGTTAAGGCAAAGGCGGCTATTAGCCTTTGAGTCTTCCCATTAATCTTTACAACAAGCGCTCGCCACCCTAACGTTCCACGCGCTCTCATTTAATAGGGAGTTTTAGTAGACCGTGTTTTCCCCTCCGCTAACCCTCCGCTGCGGAGAAACCGCCACTGCGCCTGCGCGCCGATGGCCTTGACTGTAGAGTTCCGGGTAGCGGAGGGGCTGAGCGGAGCGGGAAACACGGTCTACTAAAACTCGCTACTATCAGGCTCATTTTCCCCCGTATATTCGCTGACAGCTTAAGAATCACGGGGTGTGACTTGGTAGGCGCACATTTTGTATTTGCTTCGTGATTTTTTCTTCGGTCTTCTTAATGGCTCGGGACCAATCTCATCCACTAGGAAGCGAGAATAAGATGCTTCGAATTCGCCATGCTCTTGCTAGGTTTAAGCTCTCACTGAAAATTGGCAGGTTGAAAACGATTAAAGTAACAAAGAGAACGGTAGCGACAAATTCGGACATGTTTTTATTCGTCAGAGCCAAGGTGCCGGCGCTAAGTAGCGTTTTTATAATAATATGAGTATGCGCGAATGAACATTCTTGAGAAAAAGTGTATGTAACAGGAAGATTCAAAAATAAATAATAAAGACGTGTTTTCGAGTCAGTACTTTTTAAAAATGTTACGTATTGAAATTTACCCACCCTAATGAGTTCTTCAAAATGACATCGTGACTAGTAAATTAAAAACTTCACAACGGCTCAAACGTGACTCATAATAAAACGTTCAGCGAAGGAAATGTAAAATTTAAATACCTGTCATACGTTTTTTCTAATATTTGGTGTAAATACGATTATTTGTTTTCAAACTGTTTTACGTCCGAACCCCGACACTGTGCTTGCTCAATACCGAATACGCACGACCCGATTCCTGCCTTTATTATTTTATATATTATCGTGTCCCCACCTGCTCACAGGTCGTGCAGGCTCTTCCATAAAATGACATGTTGGGCTATACTCCGTTTCACCTTCTGTTGTACCGCAGCAAAGGCTAGGAGTGCGAGCTCATTGCGTTGGCAGCTGCCCTTGCTGCACGAGAGCTTGTGCCGCCAAGGTGTCCTTCAGAGCAAGGAGCTCGCGCTTGTAGCCTTTCCTGCGGTACGACACAAGGTGAAACAGAGCGGAAGAGGGCACTAAAAACATAAAAGCCATAGGACGAAAACTGACAAGTCTATAGATGCTGGCAATCAACTAAAAATGTATTTAAGATAAAAAAACTATTGCATTAATTTTTTTGTATTTTTATAATATTATATCATTCCAAATCGTCTACATGACTGCTGACAATCAAAAGTTCAAAATTATCTTGAGGTGGTATTTTTGTTTTTATTTATTGCTTGAGTTTCATTTTTCGTCGAAATGTTTAAATAATAACATATTTCAAAAAAAAAAGGAAAGGACACAAATTGGCTTTATTTTATATCTAAAAAATTGCAACCTTCAAAATGGTCTTTGCATGTGTCTCTGTTCCCCCCATCAGTAAACGTTGCAAAAACTCTGCGCTAAACTGGAACGTGTATAGAGAGAGGCTTACTTGTCGATGCAACAACAACAAAATTAAAATTTGCATGCCGGTCGGATGCAGCAAAAGCCGAAAAACCGGTTTCCTTGGATAAGCACAAATACCAAGAGACGGGGCAAATGAATAAAATATATGAGTTTCGTTTAACTAGGTTAGGCACACGGTTCGGGGTGCCGATGTATTCTGCCGTGGATTAGGAAACAAATTTTATGTCCGAAGAATGGAGATCGAGTAAGTTGCCGTTTCACCGGGATACCAAATCTACGCTTCAGTTTAGACCTCTGCCTGTTTAGATCTGAATAAGCAGCGAACTACCGTGCGGTTGTGTATCGTTACTGCCTGATGCACCTTAAAACCCCTGTTGATAAATGATAAATATTGCTAGATGATAAATATTGCTAGTTTCGTCCTGAACTAGCGATATTTATCATCTAAAGTCGAAAGCCCAGACGCCGAATAAGGCTGACCAAGTTCCCGCTTTCTAAACGTACAAGCAAGACAGCTCGTTTCCTTCTCAAATCGCATCTTTTTACAAGGGTAATGCTCGCTTTTTTTTTCTTGCTTTTTTACTTTTTTTTTTTGCCTGCGCCAAGTCACGTATGGGTGCGTTTAACACTCCTCCATCCTTCCTCGTCATTTTGTTTATGCACACACTCATTTCTTATTCCTGGGCGAAAACGCCAAGGAAAACCGCTTGACCCAATAGAACCACTCGCCGGTATTTTCACGTCGCCCCGTTTTTCCGACTACGTGATGTGGCGGAAACGAACCGAGGGGCACGCCGTCGAAGGGCGACTCGGATTCAATCGGAGGCACGTCTTCCTGATCGATTCTGGGGATGTCACGGAATTCAGTTTGCCTCCACCTTCCTGTCCTTTTTTTCTTTGGTCTGTGAATGCACTTTTATGTCGTTTCTTGAATCCTCGTCCTTATTTACGTTTTGAGCTAAACTTTCGTTCTTCGATTCTTTCTTTATATTTTAGTTTCCGTTGTAGGGGGGGGGGGGGGGGGGGTCTGTAACGCCCGCCCGCAGTTTTGGAGAAGTCGGTCGTTCAATTCTGTTTCCGCGTCGTCTGACCAGAAACGGCAATCCTCTTGACTTCCTCTTACCCTCTTCAACAATATACTTTGTGAAAGGAGCCTCAAATGCAACGCGGAATTTTTTGGTCGGGTTTAGGTAACGTCAATTTATTTCACCGAATGCCCATGTTTGAACGCCGAATAATAACCACAACATTTGTGAACATAAATGCATGCTCCACCACCGTTTTTGTTTTGTGTTTTTGTATATCTTGTTTTTGTTTATTTCTTTATTTTTGTTTCAATAAGCGTTTTGAAGTAAGCTGTCAATTCCAACTGCGTAAAATGCGTTTAAGGTGCGTGAAAAGCGAGTACAGGTCTTTTTTTTAAAAATTGGCGTATATTTTTCCCGCGCTCCAATGTATTATTTTTAAATTATTATATGGTCTCTGCAGATGCAGTACAATACTAGGAGCAGCTCTTATAGACGCTTTAAAGACGTGCCAGATTGAGCCGCCGTAGCCGACCTTCTCTTGTTTTACCGAAATGCCGAGCCAATGAAGTGGGCGTTTATGCATGAGCTTCCACAGATGCCTATGCTGGGGAGA